TTTTTTTATACAGTGCTAATAACTTTGTAACACTTTGTCAGTTGATTTGTTTTTATATCTTGCTACCCAGGATCACTTAATAATTCTGCTGGAAGTTACTTATATGTACTCAGCAGGAAAAAAATATTAAAAAACTTGTTATGAGAAAAACAAGCCATAAATTTACTGAGACCTGTCACAAAATTTTCTTTTTTTAATTTCCTCATTTTCAAGTCTGAAGACAGTAGGCAAGCTACTAGCCAAACAGATTTTTTTCTTCCTCTAAACTCACCAGAAAGTAGTTACTATTTCTTTCAATAATATAACATGTTCTGGTTAACAAAAAAAATTTCCATTTCTTCTGCAGTCACAACTCAAAAGATGTTAAGTCAGTTTGCTGAGAAATCAGGCTTTTCACTCCTTTGAACAAGGCCAATTACTTTCTAAAATTATGTTTTCCTAGAAACAGTAATATGTAGTAATATATACCAATTTAGACCCATTATAAATTGATTTTCACAATGAATAAAGCACAGTTGTTTCTCCTGTAAATCACCCACCTGGTTTTTTTCACAGTGATGTTGCTACTAAGTTTCTCTAGGCGACATTCTCCAGTGTCATGGTTGATAATTAAGATACATTCTTTCAGGTAAGGCTTCTTTGAGCCCTTGAACACAGTCACTGGTGGAGTTGAGCCCTATTAAAGCAGAAGTCCAGTAAGTGTTACTCCTTTTTTCTCCATTTTTCTTAGAAACAGCAATCCATCAGCAGTGTCAAATTCACTACAAGTGAGCATTTCTAGCCATTAAAAATGCTATTGGTTAATTCAAATTAGATTCACAGCAGCCATGTCTAAAAACAGCTGGTGTTTGACTGGAATGGGACTTTACTCACTTAGCTTAGTTTGAAATGGATTAAATGCTTCTTTCCCAACGAGAGCAGGCTCTCTCTAGGACTCCTCTCGCCAAAAGGGGTTTCAGTTCCCATATCAGCAGAGCAGTAAAGCATGGCAGGTAGTAAATTTTCCCTTTCCAGTCTTTCCTGCTTTAGAACTGCACTAGAGCAATAAATACCAAGAGGAAACTTGCACTGCCAACATACACATGAAGCTTTTCTGTGTACGCAACACTTCTGGGTCATCCTACAGCATATTTCCAGTGCAGCAAATACACTTAAAGTTACAGTGCAGCTGTTTAACCTTTGGGTCTTTTGTAATCTTACATTCTTATAGTAATTGTTTTTCTATTCTAAAAATCACCCAGGCAGCTCTGAAACAGCACTAAAACTTTATACCCTTCCATAGTCAGGATATATACTTAGGACAACAAAATAAATCATTCCCTTAAGCCCGCCACTCTTCAGCCACATCAACTCACCTCAATATTTGGCAGTGTTATCGTCACCTGTTCACCTTTGCCAACTTCAAGGTCTCCTTCACAGGACATATCAATAGATGCAGGCTTAAAGTCATCTAAATATAAAAACAAACTACATTATTTACAGGCTTTTCATGAATCTATAAATGCAGGCACCACTTAATTGCAGTTGGAGGCTATTAAGTAAAAGCCTTTTTTGCTAGTGTATCATCTACCATTCCCCTGAGCAGATCATTCCATAAGTCAATAGAATTCAAAGTTAAGCTGCTTTTCTCAGGATTCATTATAAGTGTTTAAATCTTTTGGTTAAAATTAGAAAAACACCTTCAGGTTTTAATGGATAAAAAGGCTGAACAAGCTGTGTTATATTTCAAAAGGTAAATTCTCATGTAATTATTTTCAGAAGAATCAATAAATAGTTCTTGAAAATGTTGATCCCTAAGGTGGGAGATGTACACAAGTGACTGAAAATGCAAAGAACAGCATTAAACCTCAATATGCATTTCTCTGTTTCTGACTTTACTGTAACAAGCATGTCAGAACCTGACAAAAACTTGGTGTTTCAGTATTCAGTTATTTTTGTTAAAAGTGAAATACCTTCCCAATTTAACATCGTTTTACATTGCTTTTTTCAGCTTCTAAAGTACTGGTTAAAAAAAAAGTTTTGAGCAAAAGAGGATATCGATTTTTGGTCCTTTTCAAAACTCCAAGATATTGCAAACGTGTTCAGGCATCAGCACAGCAGCTCTGTTACATACCATTACCTACAAAGTATTATTTCCATCACAAATAAATTTGGGCTACAGCCCAAACTCTGCCTGTGCTGATGTAGGGAGACAGGAGGCATCAGAGGTTCTTCAAGGCCTGTGATAACATCCGTGGGCTTGAGGTGAGGCAGGGCCAGTCTCGCACCCCGGGATGCCGTGCCCTGCCTCGCACGCTCCTCACCTCGCTGCCTGCCCCATCTCACGCTGCTGGTCACTGCTGGCGGCGTTCCTGCAGCTGGGGAGCTTCCCAGTTCCCTAACTGGGCCTGCAGCCACGGGCCAGGCGGCACAGACCACAGCTGGGAAGCACGGCTGCAGCCAGCACACCAACCGGGCAGGAAAACCAGGCGAGGAGCTGGTGGGCAGGGCTGTGTGCGCAGCAGGAGACTCGAGGCTCAGACACAGGTGACAGCCCCTGCTAGCCTTGTTCAGGGAAAACCCCTAAGTGCCGTCTTACAGGAATAAGTGCCAAAGGTTCTCAGAGAATATTTGCTTTAATATATGGCCACTAGGCTGTTAATACTTGAGAAAATGAAGATATCGATACTTTCAATCTTAACTTCTAACCAACAGCTGTTTTCCCTTTTATTCAATTGTTTTAAAAAGTCAGGTGCCAGAGGATATTTCTTCTCCGTGTGCATTTGCTAGAACTGAAGAATGTGCCAGTTTCTATGTCTCATTTGTTGGAAAGGAAGAGAGATTTCAAAACAGATTTCAGAATAAACCATCGAATTACAAGAGTCAGCATGAAACTCTAAGGGTAGGAGGTACCAGACGCGGTTGTAAACCCTCTTTAAAATTAGGGTAAATTTCAAATTGCGGCATTTGTTTAAATCCATTTATAGCTTTTTTTTCCCCCTCTCCTCCGCTTCCACAGTTGGAGACAATCTGCCTCTAAGTGCCGTTCCCTTTGCTCACAGAGAGCACATTACCCATTTTGCACACAGGACACTCTCCAGAGAACATACGCGAGACTGAATCTTGGGGATATCAGTCTATAAATAACCAGACAACAAAACCAGAAGCTACAGTCCTAAATTACCAAGGACTATAATCCTGGGAGCATTTGTTTCCTAGCTACCCTCAGAATCTTTGAGCACACACCTCTCTAGATAGTAATTATGTACTCAGGGAGGGTGTACTGGCTCCGTCATTAACACCGACTGCCTTTAACCTTTGATTGCTGAATTGTAGGGAACTTCTGAAAACTGAGTGCAAGGAAAGAAGACAGAGCCACAGCTTCAGCTTAGCTCGGTTTCCAGGAGAACCGCAGGGAGACACTATGGAAAAGGCACAGAAAGCGAAGTTAGTGCCAGCGGATAGCGAGGGGCAGCTCTAGGATACAATGGCCGTACGTACTCCCAGCACGGACTGAACCCGGCACAGCTCCCGAAATCCCGGAGCAGCACTCCAGGGCCCAGCTGCGCCCCAGAATCCCGAGACAGAGCCAGTCACCGAGCGCAGCTGCAGCCACCCCCGTCCTTCAGGGGACTGCAGGGACCGAACCCCTTCCCGACCCCCGCAGCCCCCGGGAGCTGCCCCGACCCCAGCACTCACAGCGGACGGTGTGGAAGGCGCAGCGCGGCTGCTTCTCGAAGCTCTCTCCCAGCTTTAGCACCCGCGCCTTGGGATCGTAGAGCGACGGGACCGCTCCGTTCATCGCGGCAGCGCCTCACACCATGGCGGGCCCCGGGGCCGCCGCCGCCACCCGCACCGAGCATCCCTCACGCCGCCCGGGCCGGCGGGGCCCGCCCAAGCGGGTTCCGATAGGCCGTGAGGGGCAGAGCCCCGCCTGCCCCGAGCGGGACTGGTCAGGGAGCGCGTCCGTCTGAGCATGGCCGCCAGTGGGGCGGCGGAGGCGCCAGCCCGCACGCGGATATGCAAATGCACCCTCCTCCCGCAGGGGAGAGCGCTGGTTGGCGGAGAGAGGCCGCGACCACACAGCTGTGAGGGGAGGGGGGCGCGGGGGAGCCGTCGCGTTGGAGACGGCGGGATCGGCGTTCCAATCCCCCCTCCCTCCCCCCGCAGTCGGGGAGCCCCCGCGCGGCGGTGAGAGCGGCCGGGGGTGCGTGTGGGTTCCCTCAGAGCGCCCCGAGAGGGTCCCGCCACCTGGGGGCTTCGCGGCACCGGCGCCGCCGCTCCCGGGGACAGTGGGGGCACCGAGGTGACGCCGCGGGGAGAGGGCACCGCTCCCTCTGCCCTTTCCCCCGCTCTGGGTGAGGTGAGGCCGCTCCCGCTGCCCGCCACGTGGGGGCCGCGCTCAGGCTGCCCGGCCGGAGGTGCGCCCTGCCGGCAGAGCCGGTCCGGCTGCCCGCGGCCTCGGGAGGGAGCGCGAGTGGGGCGCCCTCCATGTTTGCTTCCTTTCTCAGGGGGAGTCCTGCGGCCCCAGGCTTCCAGCTGGCGGTGCAGGAGCTGGGATGAAGCGGTGGCGTGAGGACCGCGCGCCTTGACGTACAAAGGAAAGAGGCTGGGATCCATGGTGGTGTGCGCCTCTGGTTGTTCCCTATGGCAGCCACGGACCCCCAGGTCCTGGCCTTGGCTGCTCAGATCACTGAGAGCAGAGAACAGGACATCCCCCTGCTGCTGCTGAAGTTAAAGGGTAATTAATGCCGTTCCTAAAATAAAACGATGAGCTAGTGAGGTATGGCCAGTCCTTCTTCCGTCTGCCTCCTTAAATACAGAAGGTTTTTCTGAAACTCTGTAAGGAATGTTGGTACAGCAGCTTTTCCTGAGAGTGGCATTTGATTTGACAAAAATCAAGAGGAGGAGCTGAGGAACAAATGGACAGAATTTTTTTTCTCCCTTTCAGCTGTCACCCTGATAATGTGGGCCCTTTCCCTGCTGATACAGGCAGAGATCTTACACTTGGTCAAATAATTTCTCCCAGTGCTTTTTGGGCAGAGAGCCAGGGTGGTTGTCAGTATTCAGTTTTTAAATCTTAACATAAAAACAAGACCATGGGCTCCTGTGTGACTTCCCTGTCTTTCCTTCTGCTATACAGCCACTGCTCATAGGGACGGCTGAAACAAGTCAGGTCCTGTTCTAAACTGGGATGTAATTATAAGGAAGCTATATGTTTCCCAGTGGTTGTGGTTTTATCTAGCCTAGGAAATTCATACAAATGGGTCATATCCCAGGTAATGTATGTTTTGCTACTAAATATGTAGAGAGAAAATGGAAACCTAAGTTTAGCTATCCTTCCCAATTGTCATATAATCTTACAAATGAGTTGTAGCCGTAACAGCAAAAATTGCTGACAAAATATTGAATGCTGTTCTTAGCACTTTTAAAATTACTTTAATCCTGGATCCTTCCTCTGTGTACATAGACTCTTACGTTTTAGAAAAAGAAAAAAACCCTTGCACATCAGAATCTTATGTTCCTCTTTGTCTCTCTCCTACTTTCTTCCCACAGGAATTTTAAGTAATCCTTCCTTAGGATGTGAAGAATCAAATAAAATTAAGCAAGATATATATGATTATGGTCTTACTCAGTACTGCTTGCTGATCCTTAAGCAAGACCACTCTCAGCTGCATGGAGCCTGGGCTACTGCTGCCCAGCTAGCAGAGATACTAAGGTAAAAAAAAAAAAAGCTAAGAAGTTCTCTTCCAGTTTTTTTTCTGTCCTTTCATCTTTCTCTTTCTCTTTTCAAGCTGTAATACATTGGCTCCCTTCCAGAACAAGGCTTGTTGCTCAGGAAAGGCCAGGGTTAAAGTGCAGGGAGCAGTCAAGAGCAGAGGGGTCAGGCATAGCCTAATTGGTCCTTTTAAATTCATTTGCATTGTGTTTCATTGAGCTGGGGGAACTGTGGGGTGGGAATAGGGTTTGTGTTGGCTTTACCTTTTTTTTGTGGACAGTGCTCACCAGTGCAACAGTCCTTACCCAATGATTACATAATTTTGAATTGTGGTTATTTTAAAATTGTTATTTTGTTTGCTTAGATTTCATCTTGCAAAGATCTTCATCCTGATTGCCACGCTACTTGGCTTGACTGTACTAAAATATTTATTTAATATACCCATTTTAAGTATCTACTTACATTTTTAAATATAATAGATGACACATTTCATACACTCTAGATAACCAGATGTAGTGATATTGTGAGAATGGCATTGTAAATATGAAAACTTTAAACTCAAATCCCCAGTGGTCCAATTTCAATTTTAAATGTCAGGAAAAAGAATGCATTTTAAATTTTCCTCAAGTTGTACTTAGTTTTGGCTTAACTAGAGAGTAAAATTCTAAGGCATGAAGTAATTATGTGACCATCTCTTATTTATGCCATATCTGCAGTATGAATTTTTAATGCGAGGAGTTTCAGTAAGAGATGCGAGAGTTATCACCAGAGTAGTGTAATACTTAAATCATTCCTTATAAGCTGTTTCAGTTGCAGAGAATACTGAAATTTATTTTAGCTGTAAAAATGTCCTTTTGTAGCTAGATTAATCTCAGCTTCACGCCTAGAAATTATTTTCCAGCTTTACGTGTGTGCATTCCCAAAAAGCTAACATAGCCTAGATAAGATATCAGAAAGCAAAATTCATAAAAAGTAAGGAAGACTCTTTTGTTGCACTGGTATCAGTGCCAAATGCAGAATTGAAACAACTTCCCAGTTGTAAAACATGCAGTTTCTTGTAAAAGGTCTTCCAGAAACAATCGACGTGTGGTGGTGAGTGAGATAAGAGAGCTGAGATCTGAGGAACTGATTTCTACCCACATGCCTTCCTCAGTTCCAGAAAAGTTGTACACAGGTATATTCACAGGTGTATATTTTATACATATTTTCACTTCATCATCAGGCTTCCTTTATCAGCTTTTTTTCTACCCCTCTATTTTGCCTTTTTTAAAATCTTTTTTATGACCATAAGAGCCCTTCCCTAGAATATAGAACAAGCCTGAACCGATTCTATGAAGCTGAAGGAGAAAGGGCCTTAGTTTTGTTTTTAATTGAGAAATGCCATAATAAATAGTAATATGGTTTCCAACCTGTGAGTGGTTGCTCTTCTTGGAGGCAGCCACCTTGGAGGCAGTCACAGCAGTGAGCTGTTGTTCAGGGAGGAATTGTCCCATGACACTGAAGCATTTCTCCGATGATGTGACATTCATTCAAAGTCGTTCAAACAGGCCTTGGACTATTCAGGTTGATTTTTTTTTTTTTTAATTTTTTTTTTTTTTTTTACTCCATTTCAGTCATTGTTGTGTAGGGCTAGAGGTGAAAGAAGATCCTGAGGAATTTTACAAGAAGTTTCTTCCTTCAGCTATAGACAGCCTGCTGGTTTTGGGAAAACGCTTGCAAGCACGATTTCTCCTAGCAATCAAGGTATTTAAGTTTCCTAGTTAAAAGAGCAGAAAATGCCTGCAAACTTTTCAAGGTCATGTATTGAATAAATAGGATATTATTCTAGGGACGTGGTATTATGAAAATTTATTTTCCAGAAATTGCAGTAGTTTTTCTTCTGCCTCCAAGCTCTGAGCTGAAATCTGTCATTGTGCAGCATTTACTCCATGACTTGTGCAAAGCCACTCTGTTACCATAGGCCTGTTAAGATAGTTTGGCTACTACTTTTGACAAGTTTTAAAGGTAGAGGGAAGGAATGTAATTAGAAGGATTGAAGAATTAGAGCAATGTAAGAGGACAAAAAAAAGCCCTACAAAAGACAGCATCCCAGTCACTAATGTCTTTTTTAACTTCGCATATCATTAGTTCAGCCTTTGTAGTGAATGTAGTTCTCACTAATTTTATTCAGCTTTACAAAAAATGGTTTAGGAAGTCTTAAGGTTTTAAATTGGATTTGTTGAAGTTTGTTTTGTCATTCAATTTCTGTTGAATAATTGGCAAAAAAATTCCAAGAATGCTCACTGCTTTGAACTTGCACATGGAGAATGCCAAAGGCAGACTTCATGAATTTATAGATTTAAACACTCTCTCACATTTTCCTCCTCTTTTGCAGTGAAGAAGGATTTTGCTCAGTGAGGTTCCCTCATGCTTCTGCAGTATTCTGAGCTCTAGAATCACAAGGAAAAAACCCCAACAAACAAAAACCCACGAGTAGTTTAAATAACCATTGGATTCTGACAGTTTCTTTTAATATCCCCATTTCTCCATACTATCTCATTTCTTGGCTCACTGGCTTCTTGCACTTAGCCAAAGTTTTCCTACAAAGTGTTGTGATAGACGCCACAGACAATCAACTCTCAGCAAGCATCAGTGCAGTAACATAGTTTCTACTAGTCCAGTACTTGAGAAATGCATTTAGAGCTTAAGAAGGAAGCTTCCTAAATGACATCCCAGGAGACTCTTATCCACAATATGTAATTTCCCCCATACTTTCTTATTTTGTCAGCCTATATGCTACTTGAGTCATGCTTGTGGGCAAAGATTTCTTTTGAATGCAAATGCAGTCTACATTATAATTAGTACTTCGGCTTTTAAACTTTGTGGTCTCAGAGGTGAACTGGGCACCCAGACTTGATGCTTGCTCAGTGGAATTTTGGAAATCCCACTCTACCAGTGGAGATTAGAAATTTATTCTGCTCTCTTTTGCTTTTTGTACAAGTTTTTGAAGTCAAGGGAAGTGGTGAAATAGCTTTCAGAAACTGACTTGTTGCCAAAACACAAAGAAGATAATATTGCAGCTAACATGTTAGTTATTATGTATCTCTCCTTGTCAGTACGGACCAAATACAAAGTTAAACCTTGACTGAGGGCTGTGGCTCCAGCAGGGATCTAGGAATAGGTTTAATTTGGAGAGGCTCAATTAAGGTGGGATATATGACCATGTGCTTTGTAACAACATTTGTCGGCAGTGTGGTACTGTCAAAAACCCTTTTGCTGTTCCACACACCAAGATTCCAGATTTCCAGTAGTCTGTGGCTCACACTTGGAATACAGACTGGAATGTGCATCTCTATGTGGATTCACAAATTAAAACCTGAATTCCTACTGGTCATAGGGGAGCACTGGAGCACCTCTGCAGTGAAGAAGGGCTGAGAGAGACATGGGGTTGTTCAGCATGAAGAA